GTTTTATTTGCCATGTGAGCATTAAGGGCAATTTTGTCCTTTCCTACATTTAGTGAATATAAACTATAAATATTGAGAGAGTGGCGGCGGCAGATTCATTCGATCTGTCCCTCCTTTCAAAACCCTTGTGTACTTCTGCTTCTTCTCCTTTCTTCTCCCTCTTTCTTCTACTTTTCTCAATCCAAAATCTGTTGGAATCCAAGACTGACTGTAGTCTTGATCGACTACTGTAACAAAAAGGTATGGTACCTAACAAATTCATAACCAATCAAAGGGTATGAATTCATGAGAGATTTTGATTAGTGAAAGTGTTTTAGGTACAGTATCTTTTCAGTACCACAGAAATTGCCTAAGAAAGACTAACAAAGAAATCAATGGGCAAGATGCCTAAAAAAGTAAAAAGTAGTAGAATGAGGACCATTTCCCCCAGTGACTTGACATCAAATGATGATTTTTCCAGTTGTTTCCTTGACAAGCATAATATCATACATCTTTTCATGCATTACATGGCAATTAGTGCTATATAGATCAATCAAGATCACTAGCCAGAAAAGTTATTCAGATGAGTCCAATCAATATGCAAGCAATTGAGTTGTATTGAGATCCCACAAAATTAAATTCCGCCTGTCATCCTATCTGTACAAAGTTCAACACCTCTTATCTAAGTTGGCCAGATTTTCACCTTCAAGTTGAATCCATTTTGAGTTATAAATTTCTCTATAGATTTATTCACTTCATCTAAATTATTACTAAAGGAAACCTTTAACAGTAAAACCAATAACTGAGTCTAGTGGCTGTTGCAATAATGCAAAACAACATAATATTGAACTATATTCTACTATAACCATCACCAATTGCGGGCAAAATAATTTCATTCGAGTGACATAATTCAGAAAGTTTCATGTGAACAAAATAAACTAATTAGTGAAGGCATATACCTGTTCAAAGTCATGAACACTGAAGTATATGTCATCCCCACCATTAAGCAATACATTGTCACCATCCTCACCCTGAGGAATCAGCACATTTTCGTTTTCATCCCACTCCTCCTCAATAAAAGGCGCTCCATACTGCTCACCATTCTTGGGCCCTGAACCACTCTTCTGAAAAATTCTACACAGCACATACGCATCCTACCCAGCAAAAACAATTAATAAATTTCCACAATATAAGAAAATCAAAAAAAGAAAAGAAAAAGGAATGAAAGTGCACATACAAGCATCCGATTGTCTGCAGTTTTTTGTTTTCTTCTGGACAATAATTCTCTATAGTTTGTAACAGACAAAAAGTTCACCAATAAACTAACCTGTAGAACACCCGCTAGCTCCAATTCTTCGTCGACGAGCCTGTATTCATGCATGACCCAATTGGCCCGCTCGCCACGTGGAGGCCGTCCAATATGGAATACAAGGGTCTTCTTCATCCCGACCGTCTTGTTGTTATGTCGGACCGGACGGTCTTTACCGGTGGTCTTCCAATACCCCTGGTCCGTAGCGCGATTCGTCCTTGACCCGTTACCGTATTTCTTATCTAGGGCACCGAAGAAGTACCACTGTAGGTCTCTGGTTTTCAGCTTTGACATACCTAAAAATTCGAAGAATTCATCAGAAATACATACAAAGAAAAAAAAAGGTAATGGAGTCATTAGAAATGAAACTAAAGATGATTTTGTAAAAAGAAATAGCTAACCCGGAAGATCCCATGGCTCTGTTTTGTAAAGATCGACTTCAGAGATGGCTTCGAAGCGAAAAGGCTTTCCCAATATCTTGCGCTTCAGGTAGTAGCTTACAAGTTCTTCGTCGGTCGGGTGGAATCGGAAACCAGGAGCAAGTGCTGCTTCACCCCCCATAGCATGCGATCTCTTGGAGATACAGACAGATGGCATTACAGAGAATTGGAAATTGGGGAATTGAGGATTCGATGAAGAATAACAAATAGAAAAGGAAAAAAAAAAAGAGGATTCAATCAATGTCTGATAATTTAAACAAGGTCCTTATCATCTCTACGACGTTGAAACTCAACATGTTCGGACTTCGGAGCATTCGAAGAAGGTATGAGAGAGAGAGAGAGAGAGAGAGAGAGAGAAGAAAAGCAAAGGAGTCTGATGTTTTTGTTTGATCGGCTTCCACTGTTCTTCTCTCCTTCCTTTGAGTTGCTGTTTGCTGACTATATTATTTAAGTGCTCTGTGGCAGGTAGAACCGTAGAAGAATGACGATTGCTTCCTCCATCATCCATGGTTGGTGCCATTATGGATTCAACGAGGGCTTCTACAACCGTTGGATGGGCATGAGAAAGAATGTATGATGGTTGATGAGTTGAGGCCTCGAAGGTCAAAAAAGTATGCGACGGGTTCTCCAACCTCACATTGTGAACACCTCCCTATTCATTTAAGAGATATTCCCGATGTGCGTCTAAATTCCGTGTACGTAGGTTTTTCTAAGGGTAAAATATAAAAACTTTCCTTGAAGTTTGTGACAATTATAAAAACCTCCTTTATAGTTTTATTTTAACAAATAGCTCCTCTAAACTTTTGAGAAACTTGACAAAAACCTCCCTTCCATCACTTCCCCATACTGAAAAACGTTAGATTGATGTAGTAGTTTCTTCTAAATACCCATTTTACACTTTCATAAATTATTTTATATACAAAATTACTGAAATAACCTTATTTTTTACTTGACAAAAATCTCCTTTTAATGATCATCTTCTAATGTTTTTGTTGAATTAAAACATGGTTATTCAATAATTTTGTATGTAAATTATTTTATAAAAGGGTAGATTGGGTATTTGAAAGAAATTGCCACATCAATCTAACATTTTCCGTCTAGGAAGGTGATGAAAGGGAGATTTTTGTCGAGTTTCTCAAAAGTTAAGGGGATGCATTTGTTAAAATGAAACTATAGGGGAGGTTTTTATGATTGTCATAAACTTTAGGTGAGGTTTTTGTATTTTACCCTTTTTTAAAGAGTGTGTGCAAAGTTTTTTGCTTGTAGGAAGATCAAAGTATCGATAACTAGATCCCTGTTCAGAGGCTGGGCTTTGGGTTGGACTCTACATTGTGTGTTGGGCTCGGGCTGCAAATCGGGCCCATTCAAATTTTGGCAAAAGCGAAGTCCAAGCTCAGCCCATACATAGTGTACTAGATTTTGCTTGTGGCTTGTGTGGAGGAGATGAAAGTATCGATAGGTTGATATAATAATTATGTATTGGTTTTAGGATGCAATCTCTACTCTACCTTATCCGGTTTTTTGTTGAATTATGGATTTTGATATTTTACAATCCATACAATATAAGTAGGGTATAGTATTAGGATAAATCCAATCCTCTCTGAGGAATGAGTATGAATTTTATGTATTAAGTATTGAATTTTATGCGAAGGATAATTGATAGTTTATGTGTTTTTTATATGTCTATCAAATAATTGGAAATCGTGTGATTTGCTTATGTTATTTTACTTATTTATTGCTTATATACAACAATAAATAATAGGGAATTAGATGTGGGTTTTAAGTTCAAAACCCACCCTACCTTTGAATAAGGAAGGTAGGGGTTAGGGAGGGTTTTGCATCTTCATTTATGGGGAGAGTTTGGATTCTTAAAATCCAACAACCTGCTACAAGTTTTGGGGTGGGTATAGGTTAAGAGGTTTAGGGAAATAAGTAGAGTGTAGAATTTACCAAACCCACCCTGAACTTGCCTCATTGTCATCCCTAACTGGATCATGACCCGACTCAAATTTGAATCCAATTCTATTTTGTCGGATTTTGATATTTCTTTACAAAATTTCAAATTATATATTATGGATTAGTTGACGAGGCCTTGTGCAATGCTCAAATGTGTGAAGCAAGCTTACAAAACAAAACAACATGCAATAAAAAGACAACAATAATGGTACACGAATTAGTAAAAATGCACTATGTATTGCACTAATGTGTTAAGTACATATACATAGTTTATGCATCAGAGGCCCTTGTGCTTAACCTTTACATTTTAGTTCCCTTATGACTTCCCCTAAAAGGGATATTAAGCTTTTATCTAATAGAATAATACATTAAAATGTTGAAAAAACATAATGATAATTACAATAACACCATTGACACTTATAATGTCCCACTAAAGACATACAAGATGACACTCGAATGGCATGTTGATGGCACAATTGAAAAAAATGGTTAGAAAAAAAATGCTTGTTTTTTTTTTTTGTTTTTCTCACTATATACTATTTTATTTCCTTTTTTTTTGTGCGTGTGCTAACAATTTGTTGAATTTTACATACATATGAGAATTCAAATTGGATTGAATCAAATTTAGATATATGACATTTTTAATGGATTCAAATTCAAATTGACTTTATTAGATTGATCCATTAGATCAATAGACCAGATCAGATATAGGATTTACATTATTGGATCAGATTTGATCCAATCCATTTGCATGTCTAACTATTTAGACCGAATGGGATTGCATGTGTGCATAGAGATTTTGCCTTTAAGATATCTAGGCTCATTTTTAAATTTGATCTTCATTGATGAGTATCAATTTTAGAATAGGCAATACATGGAATAATAAGAATTAAAGAGTATGGATAATTTGAACATTGATGATATGTAGTGGTTTTTAGAGTCGCCAATGCAATATATCTATATCTATATCTATATATATGTAGATAAATAGAGAGATAGAGATAGAGGGGGGTTAATTTTTGTGTGTGTTTTGTTTCTTGGACGTTTTGTGATAGGCAGTTATTAAAACACTGCCATCATTTTTATCATCATATTTATCTATACACATTGATATCCACAAAAGTGGGTTTTGATTTATATCCACAAAAGTGGGTTTTTATCAAAACAATGTCAATAAATGACTTATCAAGTACTTTTATTGGTTTTGAAGACAAATCAAGAAAAAAAAAGCTAAATCAAACACAGACATAATCATCATCATCATTATTATTACATTATTATTATTATTGTTGTTGTTGTTATTATAATTATTATTATTATTATTTACAAATTATTAGAACAAAAAAATTAAAAAATCTGAAGAAATGCTCAATCTCAATGCATTTAGCCTATGTTTTTTAAGAGTATGTTTGGTTCACAGTTGTGGTCGAAATTAGAATCAAAATAGAAATCACTTAAAATCAGAAATTAGAAAAAGATATATATATATATATATATATATATATATATATATATATATATATATATATATATATATATATATATATATATATATATATATATTCCTCCCATATGCTTGGTTCAAACAGAAATTGGAATCAAAACTATAATTAGTTGGAATGGAACTTTGATCCCAAGGGAGGGGAGGAAATGGCCATTCCTAGGGGAATGCCATTCCACTAAAAGTGGGGATCAGATTTCAATTCCGCCCAAGCAAACGGTTGGAACCAGAATGAACTTATGAACCAAACCCCTATTCGCATGAATCAAATGGTCCCTAGGAATTTTCCAATAACTTTCATTGCCTCTTACATTCTGTCGAACCAAACACATCCTTATTCAGAATTAATGACTCAAACATTAGGCACAAATAGATGCAATAGAAATAAATTAAATTTTAGGGATTGACACCAATGTTTTAAGACATGGATTGGACTAAAAAACGGAATTGCCACCAGGTCCTAGTTTTATTGGTTAACCAGGTAGTTTGCCCGTTCAACCCATTAAAAACCACCAAAGCCATACTACCCATAAATTGTTCTCACATCCACTTGTCATATATTGGGAACATCTCCATACACAGCTATAATTACTCGTGGATAAAAATGTAAGAACAACTCGTGAGTAGCATTTCGAGCCCCCATCTGATTGTAAAATCCAGATTGAGTGAGTCTTAAAACACTGAATGGCACCTTGGTAGCTGTGTCCGGTTCATTGTTCATTTCGAGTTTCATCAAATTCAGAAACAGGAAACCGCATTTTAAAATCTCTCATTAGAGATGAGGAAAGAGTTTTCAATGATGCAAGCTTGACACTTGAAGTGACACAAAGCATTGGTTATATATTTTTCAAAAGTGAAACCTTGCAAGTCTTCTGGCTTTGAATGGTTCAAATGCACAATTATGATCGGGAAACATCCGAAGATGGCTTCCCGTGTTTTCAGAACCAGTTTACCACCAACCTGAGACATCTTAATTTAGGGTATATTTGGTTCTACATTTATCAGATAAATGTTTTATACGAATCTTTCCTTGAAAATTGAGATAAAACGTTTCTCTTTAGAAGATCGGGACAAATGGCAGTTCAGCATCATTAGGGGTTACTAGGCACCACTCGGCGTTATATCTTATATGTGCTGAATGGTAAATAAATCATGGTTTTCAAAATCGGATCAGATGGGACCAGAAAACCGGAAACCAGTTAGGTGATCGGTTTTGTTTTACCTCAGAATTGTTATTTTCCCCAAAACCGTTGGTTTGATCAGCAAATCATTGATTCAAGTGGTTGAACCGTTTGAATCATTCAATGATTTGGCTGGTTTTTATTTTATTTTTTATTTTTTTGCCATAATGGATCATCCATTCGGTTCGAACGGCCAGACCATTCACCCCCGGAACCGAACCCCTGACCAATTCATTGTCTGAATCGATTTAAAAAACCTTAAAATAAATGCTTGGGCATTGGAGAAACATCCCTCTAATGAAGGCTTTTTCATATTACCCGATTTTTTTCTCAGCAAACAAAAATAAATAAATAAATTAAGCTCCATTGGAATAAAACACCTACTTGACACTAAGTTGAAGCCATTTCTCTTATAAACGGTAATAGAACCAAACGCTATTTTAGAGATAGATTTAACTCGATAGTAAAATTGTTGTTTCTAGATAGAATGATGAAACAAAAGGATATGTAGATTTGCTAATTAGCATTCAAAGCCAGAAGATAGTGTTTGGTTGGATGACATGTTTCTAAAATTAGAGGCAAAATTTACTGAATATATAACTTGAAAAAGCCAAATTCCATAAAAAAAGTAATTAATAGCTTATTATGTGAATCCAAATTGTGTATTTCTTCCCCTTCCTACATGGGTCTGACTTCTGAGTCCTCGTCAATAATTTTTGGTTGGATGTAAAATTCTTCACAGCCTTGAGCCTTAAAAATTGTAGCTTAGGTTGCGTTTGGAAATGATGCAAATAAGTGTGAATGCAAATTTGTAGAG